AGGTAGCTCAATGACTTTTCCTGGGATCATCCACTTTGCCTTCACACTTGAGGTTACAGAAGCTCCTGAAGGTCTCTTCCAGTCTGCCAAGAGCTGTGGGGTGCTGAGAGGGGAATCTGCTCAGCCAGTTAGGGAAGTTCTTTCAGGCTTTGTTTGAATAAGATAATTCTAAGGTCTCTGGACCTCAGGAATCTCCAATTGAGAAGCAGCAACCCGATTACCCTGTCTGTTAAACTCCCATGAGTTACCTTCTGCAAACCTTCACATGGTGGGCAGCCCTGTGGGTACCTCCTGCTCCTTGAGGTGGGAGAGGGGAAGATGAGCTACCTTTAATTTTTGTTTTAGAATTTCACCTGCAGTTATAAAGAACACCCACTTCTTCTGGATCACAAAGCTCACTTATTTCCATGTACACAGGGCCTTCACAGACCCTAGCCGTTTGCATTGCAGTCCTTTGTTCTTCCTGTGCGCAGGTGTGGTGAGGGGGGGATGTGCTGGGGGAGGTGGGTGGCTATAGGGGAAAATGAACAGAATTCTTTTTCCCTTTCTCAAGTTACTGTTGAAAGAAAACACAACATCCCTTGTCTTGTCCTTTTTGTGTTGTTTAATTATTATTTTTTATTAGTACATTTGCAGCACATGATTACATTCCCTGTAGGGAGTTGGTACATGTACATAACACAGCTTGATTTTTTCTTTACCCCTCCCCTTCCCCTCCATCTCTTGGTCCCCTTCCCTTTTGCCAAAGCTCTATCTCCCTATTTCCGATTATCTATCTTTTATTTTGCTCTTTATTTATATTTTGGGTTTCTCATATAAAAGAAACAATGTGATATTTAAGCTTGTGCATCTAATTTATTTCATTTAAAATTATGGTCTCAAGGTGCATTCCTTTTCCTACAAATGACTTGTTTATCCTAAAATTTCTGCCATGAAACAGAAAGAAAATTTGGGATATTGTTTAAATTTAGTTATGAGAAAATAAAGTGACATTTTTGAAACTTGAGCTGTGACCACAGTAGTAAGAATTGCAGAGATGTTTAGGGGGATGGCTATTCACCAGGTGTGGCAAGAGAGACAGGGCCAAGTCTGTGTCCCAGGGCTTCCACAAGGCTAGAGGAGGAAGGGACAGCTGGTGGTAGGGGCACACTCACTCTAGAAGTATTGGAGGGATTTACCTACCTCCCACCTACCTCCTACCCCCCACCTACCTCCTACCCACCTGCCTACCAGAGATACAGTAAAATATAACTAAGATATAAGACCACAGAAAACTGAAATACAAGTATAAAATGAAGATTTTGAGGAAAAGACAAACAGAAGTAATGCAGGCCATAATGACCTACAAAGTTGTTAATGTTTAAACCCTTGCTTCACTCTGATTCCTGAAAACTAAAATGAAGAGAGAGACACAATTATGTGGTGCTTATTATCAAGGAGGAAGGAGTATTCTGGTTTTATTCAGGGAGTGCAAGTGTTCTGAATTGTTGCTAATGCTTGAAGCATAGTAGGTTCTTAATGTTTGCTGATTGAATGCATGAGCAAATGAATAAATGAGTGGAGTTGTGTTTGCATTATAAACTAGGGACCAATTTTTAGATGAACCCATGGGAACAGGAGACTAAGGCTTTTACACAGCATGGAGAATTTAAAAAAATCATTTCTTAGGCTATGGTTTATTGTCTTCTCTTTTTCTGTAATTCTAATATGCATTTTGGATGTCCTAGTTCTATCTTATGTGTTTCTTATCATTTTCTTATACTGTATTTTCATCACTTGTGTGGTGTATATTTTTTCACATGAATATCTCTGAAGCTGAGATATTTTGCAATTGATGATGTCTCACAACAGTTTCTATCCAGGTGCTGGTTATGACATAGATGCTGCTCCCTGTGGGTACTTGAACTTGGTTGTTATTCCTGCAGATTTGACCAAAATGCAGGTTTTCCAAATTTTTCCATTCTGTTTGTTCCCAGTTCTAACAGTAATTTTGGCTAATAGCTGGCAGGAATACCCATACTGTTATTGGTTAATGGGTCCTGGGAAAATTCCTTCTAGGTTCTTGCTATTCTGTTTTTTGGTTTTGTTTTTTTGGTACTGGGGATCGAACTCGGGTCACTTGTGCTTGTGCAGCAGGTGGTGAAACCACTGAGCTAAATCCCTGGCCCAAGGTTCTTGCCATTCTGAACAAAGAAAGGGACAAGACACACAGAAAAGGTAGTGGGATGCACATTTATTGAAGGTGGAAAAGAAATAGGCTCTGAAGCCTGACTCACAGTGGCCGTGAGATAAGGGAAAGGGGTTCTTCATGTCTGGCAGTCCTCGATTGGCTTCTCCCTCATGCAAATAAAACATTGACACAGTTGTCCTATCACACATTCACTTGTCCTGGCACCAGATTTAAACTATCCTATCAAAGATTAGCTTTGGTTTTGTGCTGAATGTAAACGAATTAAAAATAGCACTTTTCTGGTTGGGTCCATGTACAGTGGTGAGGAGTTGCAGTCACCCTGAGTCCTGTGTTATGCATGTGTACCCTGGGTCTGCATGGTTTTGACAGATTCTGGCCAGTTGTTTGACTAGTTTTGCCCAGCCCTAATCTTTTACCTCAATGCCACTACCTGGATGCTGTGCTGCCTTGAAATTTCCTCTGTTAGGTAAGCTAGTTCATCACTTTTGAGCTCAGGGCATGGACAAAATGAGACCCAATTCTTTGCCACAGATTAACATGAGTGGCCTAAAGTCTAATTTCCAACACAATCTTCATTTCCATCTGAAACTTCATCAGCATAGCTTTAATTGTCTGCATTCCTACCAGCTTTCTGGTCTTCTGAGCATTCTAGGCTTTCTCTAGCCCACTTCTCCAAATTTTTCCAAACTCTACCTGCAAGCCAGTCCCTAACACTTTCCCACATCATCTCAGGTATAGCAATGACTGCTCCACTTCTCACTATCAGCTTTCTGTCACTGTAAAAAAGGGAAAAACCTAAATAAACTCTCCAGCCTCACTAGCTTTTAGTTGACTTCAAAAATCGCTAATTTGGAGGCAGTACAGCAGAACAATATGTTAGTTGTTTCCCACTAGTTTTGCTGTAGATTGCACCTCCACTGAAGCTTCCTAATGAGTTAATACTGTTCTCCAGCAAAAGCTGCTTTCTGTTCTTCTCCCCTGATCTGTATCTTAAACGCAAGGTTTGCTATTCCTGGGGAAAGGAACTAAAAAGACATAAGTCATAAAACTAATCAGTAACTTTTCTCTAGATTTACAGAACCCAGGACATCTGACAACCTTCGGGTATCATCAGAATGTACCTCATCTAGCACAAAGCATACAACTTGACAATCCTGTTCTTTAAAAACAGAAATATAGGTAATTTGCAAGAAAATATGTTTATTAAAGAATTATAGGACAGGGCTAGAACATGACAGTTGATTGTTATTGCAAGCATATTCTGGCAAAAGAGGAAAAAAAAAACCCTCAGTGACAGGATGGTAGGGAGCCTAGATGCGACTCAGTGTGCCTGCTCATTACTCCCCTGCACCTCTCATCCCTCTATAAAAACTTTTATATACTTGAGTTTCCTAAGAAGGGGCTCTGGAGACTATAGCTCTCTCCATGTTCAAGGGTTCTGGCTCTTAAGTAAAACTGATTTCCTTTCAACCAGCTCTCATCTCCTGAGTGTTGCCTTTTGAGCAGTGAGCAGCTGGACCTCGGTCCAGTAACACAAACACCTGAGATAAGTCAACTTATAAAGAGAAGAAATTTACTTTGGCTTATGGTTTTAGAGGTTTCAGTCTATGATCAATTGCCTCATTTTGCTTTGGACCTGTGGTGAATCAGCACATCCTGGTGGGGGAAAGCTGCTCACCTGGTGTCTGGGAATTGAGAGAAGAAGAGGAGGGTTTGGCTTTCACAGTCCTCTTCAAGGGCAGGCCTCCAGTGACTGGAAGACCTCCCAATGGGCCTCACCTCTTAAAAGTTGTTCTCCACTTCCCAGTAGTGCCATGGTCTGGGGAGCAGGCTCTAGCACATGAGCCTTTGGGGACATTCCAGATTCAAGGTACAGTGCTCCCACCTGGAGCACACACTCAATTTTCTTGAGGCTCTAGTTCCCCTGTGGAATGGGGATAGCAAACATAGCTCCCTCTTGGGGCTGTTGTAATGGTTAAATGAGAAAACATCTGTAGGAATTCACAGCAATGGCTGGGGATGAGGACAAATGTTTGTATTCCTGGACCTGGTGTGGTGCTTAGACTGCAGAAGGTGCTTACCGAGGTAGAGTTCCTGCCGCTGCAGAGAGGTCTGCTTCCTGCTGTGCACCTTTTTCCTTCCTCTGTTTTATTTTTTTATTCATTGAGTTTATTGGTACATTTTATGTATACAATATGATGGCACTTATCATTGGGAATTTGTATCTATATATGATATATCTTGGTTCTTATTTTTCCCCCATTCCCCTGCCCTCCCTTCAACCCCTCTGTCCCTCCCTATTTTATAAAGACTTCGTTTCTGTTTATTCCTTTTCTCTCCTTCCCGTTTCTCCTGTATCTTGAGGAACTTTGCTCCCTTAGAAAGTGAGCAAGTCAGGCTGGGACTGGGGAACCTGCTGAGCTCACAGGAAGTTGTGGTCTGGTATTTGGATTCCAGTATCACAGTCCCAGATTGGGCAAGAACAGGGAAACTGTTGGTTCCTCTGAACCTGGTCAGGGATATGTGGAGACACCAAGAATTCTGGGAAAAGGGGGAGGGACAGAGGGGGAACCACAAACTACACCCTGGACCCCCTTGGCCTGGCTTCCCTTCCCAAATTGTGCAATGAAGAATGAGATGATTGGCATGTGAGGATGGTGGTGGTGGGGAACCAGGAGACTCCTTCCTAAGGGGATGAGAACAGAGGTGGTTGTATCCCCCTCCCCCACTATTCATTGTCCAAGTTCCAACTCTGTTTCCACTTCTATTTACTGTCCAAAGTCCCAGGGCCAGGAGATGCCAGGTTAGAGTAATTCGAACATTCAGGACCCTGGCCTGAACTAACTTCCTCTTCCCCTCGCATGTAGCACCCACCACCTGCCTGAGTTGTCTTAGCTTTAATCCTTCTTTCTCCATAGGGCCTGAGCTGCCTGCAGAAGCCAGAGCCAGGTCTTCATACCTTTAACGGCTAACCAAGGTAAGGGAGACAGGCACGATGGGGGATGTTTCAAATCAAGGAGACCCTGGTTTAGGGACAGTGGGGCCAGGTGGGAAAATGTGTGTGATTTGATCTTTGAGAGTATGGAGGGATGGTTTCTGGCCATGTCAGGGGCCAAGTCATCTCTTGAGAAGGGTCAAGATCCTGCAATATTTCTAATCTTTACCCTGAGGTCATCTCCGATCTCATACCCAACTGAAGCCATCACCTTGACCCCTCCAGGCCCTACTCAATCCTACTGTCTGCCTCCACTAGAATTCTCATCTTAGCACAAGCCCCAGCTCTAATAACAACCTCTACTCAGTCCCAGATCTGGCTCCAGCTCTGGGACCATCATGGAGAAGGACTTTCAAGACATCCAGCAGCTGGACTTCGAGGAAAATGACCATCAGCTCAGTGGTGGTGAGGGACCAGGCATTTGTGGGCAGAATCCCAAGAGAGAAAATCCATTTTGGAAAGGCAAGTGTCCAGTTTCCTGGGCTTCATCTGCACCCCTGTACCAGCTGCTGATTACTCTCTGCCTCTCTGGGGTCTGTCACACTGACTTTCTGAGCTGGGACTAAGTCCTTCTGACTGTAAGCTGTAGATAGCTGTGCTTCCAGAGGACTTCCAGAGGGTGTGTGGGACACCTGGAAGTTACAGGTGGCTTTCTTCCTCCTCCCACCACAAGAGACAGCTGTGCTGTGTGTTTGCCTGGGCACATGTGTGCACAGAAGGAATGCAGAGCCAGCTAGGACTCTGTGTAAGTTGGGGTGGGTGGGGAAATGAGCACAGAAAGATCTTGGAAGATTCTTGCTCCTCTTTGACTTCCTGCCTGAATCTTCCTTTAGCAAATTTTGAAGCAGGCCCCAAGGGGCTGGGAAAAGTGTTAAAGTAAGAGAGATCTGAATGGTTCTAGGCAGAGGGGAAGGAGCCAGGGATGGAGGAGGTGCTGTGTGTAGGTGCTGGTGTTGGAGCTGGTTTCTGTGGAGGGAGGAGGTGCTGGGACTCAAGCTCAGGGAGGGAGATTGATGAGCCTGGGCTGGGAGGAATCCCTGCATTCCTGGGGCTGGCAGAGGAGGGAGAGCTGATGCTGGGCAGAGCAGGAGTGGGCAGAAGGGATAAATGTACCACTGATGGCTTCTCCTTCCCCTGGAAGTGGGCTGGTAGGTCTTATGACCCATTGGTGGGGTCTATGGAGACAGAAGCCATGTCTGCCTCCATTGTCTTTTGCAGCTTTTGGGTCCACATGGTGCCTGGGACTAATGAACCTTCAACAATGACTTTGGTTATTGCTAAACCTTCTGAGGTTGAGAGGATTCAGAGTTTGAGTGGGTGGGCTTGGAGAGAGTCCAGAGTTTTTGAAATTAATGGGAGTGGGAACTTGCCCAAATGGACTGAGGGTCAACACTGAGGGACAGGCCTAGGTGTCACAATAAGTTATGCATTTCCCTCCAGCAGCTCTGCCATCTGGAAGGGTCCCTGCAGGAGCAGACTTCACTGCTAGTTGCCTCCCATTCTTCCTGGCACTTTCCATCTATACAGTTTCCAACAAATTTGGAAATATTTTGACCATTGTTTCTGAAAATATTTTTTTTCTGTTTCCACCCCTTTCCTTTCTGTCAAGGACTCCAATTAAGTATATATTAATATACCACATTTATTAATGGCTCCATTGATGCTTTTCAAAAGCATCCTTCAAAAGGAGGTCTGTGAATGGTTTCCCCTCCTGCCCACCAGCCAGAGAGACCCACTGATCATCTCTGGTTTTAGTCTCTGCCCTTCCACATTCCCTGTCCCTTCAGACTGGGATCCCTTGAGGCTGGGCCCAGCATTCTCCCTAAGATCAATGCCTGTATCCCTCATACAAGTCCTCTCGTATCAAGGCTGTGCCTCTGACCTCCTTCCTGCCCACTAAGCACAGCCTCCCTGCTCTCACCTGCCCACACCCTCCATTTATTTACAGCGTAGAGGAATGCAAGGGCATTGGGGAGGGTGATTTGAAGGATGTATGTCTTGTAAAGCCCAAGTCTGTCTCCCAGGCCCCACTGTGTCTCTGTCCCCAAGTCCAATCTCAGTTTTGCACCTCGCTGATGTACCATGTACCATGTGAATGGATGTTCTATGCATGCTTAAACATGTTCATATGGGCCCAGATGTGTGTGTGTTCAATGCCTCAATGGTCAAAACCCATCAAGACCCCACAGCCCCTGACCTGGTTTCCTCCCCTGCCCTGGTTGCACCTCCTCAGACGTCTGAGCCCCTCTGCCCCACTGTGCCTTGTTCTGCAGCTCCCATTCCCTGGATGCCCAGCTCCTGACACCCCTCTCTCACAGGGCCATCTCCCCAGCCCCTCCAGCAACGCCTCTGCTCCAGGTTCCGTCTCAGTCTTCTCGCCCTGGCCTTCAATGTCCTACTGCTGGTGGCCACATGTGTGATTGGATCCCAAAGTGAGAGTCCCAGGGCCAGCAGGGATGGGGCAGGATGGGGAAGGGTTATGGGCATGGTGGGTCAGTGATGGGAACAACAAGAGGGGAAGAATAGAGGCAGCATGAGGTACATGTTGGGCAAAAGTGGGGGTCAGTGATGGGTGAATGATGGGAATAATGATGGTAGCAGTGTGGGTGGTGAGTGGGACAGTCCCACAGACAGCCCCACAACCCATCCCCCCTGTTTCCTGATAAGGCACACAGCTGCAAGTGGAGCTGCAGACCCTGAAAGAAGCTTTCAGCAATTTCTCCTCCAGCACCCTGGTGGAGATCCGGGCTCTGGACTCCTATGGTGAGTGGGCTGGGTGGTTGGCACAAGAGTTTGCTGGTCTCTGTGCTGAGTCTTCCTTCAGTAGGCGTGTGTTCAGGGGCTGTGGGGGTGCAGACTGGAGTCAGGCAGCATCCTGCGACAAGGTGAGAAGTCCCCAGGGTGAGGACCATGTGGCTGGAGGCACATGCAGGAGCAGAACAACTTAGTTTCTCTCTTTTTGAGGAGGCAGAGCAGGTGGCAAGTTGACATCCTTGGGAGACCAATTGGAGAAAAAGCAGAAAGATCTTCAAGCAGGTCAGAGACCTTCCTAGTGTGTGTACATGATGGTATGTGTGGTTTTATGTGTCATGGTGTGTGTTCGTATGTGTGTGGTATGCCTGTGCACTCTGTAAGGGATATCTGTGTGTGAATGGCATAGGCGATGTGTGTGGTGTGTGTGATATGTGTAAGGTGTGGTGTGTGCTATCCTTTCATGTGTGATGTGTGGTGCATGTGTGTTACATGGTGGGGCATGTGTATATGTGGGACATGTGGTGTGATGTGTGGGTGTGTGCTTCCCTAGCTGACAGCTAAAGTCTTGTGCCTGGTCCTGGAAGGATGGGGACTCACTGTTGACACACTGCTGTTTGTTCATCTGTTCCCTAGATCATGCTACCTTGCTCCTTCACCTTAAGCACTTTCCAGTGGATCTTCGTACCCTGGCTTGTCAGATGGCATTCCTCCAGAGCAATGGTAGGGTCAAGGAGATTCTGATCCCAGTGTGTTTGTCCCCACCAGCTGGATCTTACCTCTTTCTGCCCCTCTATCCCCTCAGGCACAGAATGCTGCCCCATTAACTGGGTGGAGTATGAAGGCAGCTGCTACTGGTTCTCTCGTGCTGGGATGACCTGGCCTGAGGCTCGAAATTACTGCCAGCTGGAGAACGCCTACCTGGTGGTCATCAACTCTTGGGAAGAGCAGGTAAGGTCATGCTTCCCAAAGGCAGGGGGAAACCTCATATATAGGGTTGGTCAAGAGGCCTAGTCAGGCTTGTTTTTTTTCTTTTTAACCTAAATAAGAGTCTAGAAGCAGAAGTGTGGTAGAGCTCGGGGAGGTGCCTAGTGGAGCAGCCTTTGATTCTAAGAGGTGGGAGACCATGCCAGGAGCCATGTGACCAAGTGATGAAGAGCCAGCTAGGAGACAGAATGCCAGCCGGGGTGACCTTGAGGCCAGGACATAGGAAGAGGAGAACATAGGGGAGGGCTCAGAGTCCTTTCTTGCTGTGCTGGCCTTTTGATGTGTTTGTCACCTGGGTTAAATCAATAGAATGAGCAAGATCCAGGGGTCTCCTGCAGTGGGTCACTGGGTTCTTCCAAGGAGCCTTGTGTATCCCCTTCCCACTGCTGCCATAAGAGAGCAACCCTGACCACTCAAGTTTGTGGGGAAGAATAGATAGGATGCTTTTGGAAAAGGAGGGTAATATTGGTAGCATTTACCCAATACTTACTATGTTCTGGGTGCTTTCATCTGTGCATGTTAAGCCTCACAGCCCTGTTGGGCAGGGATCCTTATTATCTCCACTTTGAGATGAGACCACTAAGGAATAGAGAGGTTAAGTGATTTGGCACATAGCTAAGTATGGAGCCAGAATTCTTATCCATTTGGCCTCTTTTGCTAGAGTTTCCACTTACTACCTGCTGCCTTAGTACTGTGAAGTCAAAGGGGGGTTGTGCTGTATGAACTTGAAAGTGTTATAAAGCCAAAGCAATTAAGCCATGTGGTACAGAAGCCAGGAATATATTTATTGAGTGTTTGCTATCCATGACGGTCTGTAAATATTTTACATGCAAAGTGATGGCAAACATATTTTGCTTTACTAATCAGGTTGAAATTATCAAAATTTAATTGGTTTTCACCCATAAATGTTAATTTCATGTCATTCAGCCTAAGATTTCAGAATTTTGTGATTTGGCTCACAAGTTCCTAACCATTACATCTTCCTGGTGCATTGTGCTTTCATCATTATGAAGTGACTGACAGCATCCCACTTAATGTTTTTGTCTTGATTTCATCTCTAGTGATTACTTTTTAACTTTAAATGGCTGAAGCTTATTAGCTTAAAAAAAAAAAAACCAACAGCTTATATAACTTTCTACATGTAAGGTGAGGAAAAGGAAAACAGCACACTTCCTAGGGTATAATCTCCCCAAAAAGCTATCCAGTCAGTAGTTTTTAAGTGTGTTTTCACCCAGCTCTCTTGGGATCCTTCACTGACTTTGGTGACACACTGTTCATAGAGCAAGTAATGAAAATTCTCACCTTTCCTTTTTTGGGACTCTTTTGGGCTCCATGATGATTTTCCTCTTCTGTCTCTGTTATGAATGGGTATAATTCTTTCTTCTCTGTATTTCACCCAGTAAGGGAAGGAATGAATGATCCTAGATGATTTTCTCTGATTGTCTAGTACAATTTGATTCCTACTTGGCCTCTGTATTGAAGGATCCTAGAACTTAGAGGTGCTACTCTAACTGATTATATCGTTGGGTGAGGTGACCAACTGCAACCTTAGTTATGTCTCTATGGAGTATGAGTGGAATTAGACATTTTCCCTCCAAATGCAAGTAAGAACCCTTCACATGCTGTCAAAGGGGATATAAGGTTTCTGTTGATCAACCCATTCCTCTGCTCCCTCCACAAAATCAGGTGACCACATCTTGGCTTACCAAACCATGGGACTTAAATCTCTAGGAATAGCCATATCTGTAAGAGAAAGCCATTTGGAAGGGCTTCTTGGGAAGCTACCTGTAAGCTCAGAGACACTGTCATCCAAGGCTCTGCCAGTTGGATGAGATGCCTCTCATTCCCAGGACACCCTCCTGCATAACATGCCAGATCCCATGTAGCCAGGTCCTGATGGAGCTCCAGGCAGTGGGCCCTTGGAACGCTTGAGGCTTGGCAAACCTTAGGAAATGACAGCTACACTTAGAAGCAGGAGCAAACAGGGGCAGATATACCTGAAAGTGAGTGAAGCTGAGATCCTTAATAGGTTCTGGGGTCTGTTGAGGCAGCAGGAGCAGAGATACCAAGAGTTGGAAGTTGTGGGAAGATTGGGAGAGGACCAGAGTTAGGATAGCAGTTGTGATGGGAATGGAGTGAAACTCTAGGCCAGGGCTGGGAACAGAGTGCAGTGGCTAGTGGCTAGTTCATGGCTTGGCTCTCTGGGCTCTAACAACTGCCCTGCCAAATATGAATCACTTAGAAGGTTTCTGAGGATTAAATGAGATTATTCTTACAAAATATTTTAGCACAAAGTGTAGATCAGTAAAAGGGTGACTAAGCAACACCTGAGGTTACAGAAGAAAAAGCAAGGAAGCAGTTGTATTGGGAACTGAAGCTCCAGCCGGGGGCAGATCTGTCTGGGGAGTCTGAGGGGGGCACATGAATGCCTGCAGGGCGAAGAATGAAGGTACAAGCAACTAGCCACCCCCCCCCATCTGTTTTTCCAGAAATTTATTACACAACACACCGGCCCCTTTCATACCTGGATAGGTCTCACTGACACTGAAGGCTCCTGGAAATGGGTGGATGGAAGTGACTACAAGTATGGCTACAGGTAAGAGACCTCCCTCCAGCTCCCTTTCAGTTTCCCCTGGGGACAGCCACCTGGCCCTTTACCCCAATGTATTCCCACAGGTCCCTCAAGGACCACGTTTCCCAATCCTCTCCTTCCTGGCTCCCCACCTCCAAGGCTGTGTTTTGACAGCCTGGGGGATGGGGTTGCTGGGATGTGGCGCAGGTCAGCACTTGAGCTTCAGTTTGCCTTCTTAGGAACTGGGCTCTCTCTCAGCAACAAAATTGGTGGGGCAGCGAAGTGGGTGGAAGCAAAGACTGTGTTGAAGTCTTGTCGAATGGCTTCTGGAACGACAATTTCTGCCAGGAGGTGAACCGCTGGGTGTGTGAGATGCGGCAGAATATTACTGAATAGGAGCCCCGCCCCAGCCCTCTCTGTTGAAGAAAGCAAGCAAAATGGAGTCCTGGCCATGGGGAGCAGTTGAGGAAAAATAGAGAAGGGGTGGTTTGTCTTAGATCCTGGGAAGGCTGAGATCCTGCCTCTTGCAATTCATGTAATTAGTATAATTTTCAGCCTCTTCAACGGATTAGGAAAAGAAGAAGGAAATACTTGAAACTCTGTGTGGCTTGGTTATTTGGAACTGGGATGTGAAGGGTGCACAGAAAAGGGAGGGGCTGGGGATTTAGCTCAGTGGTTCCACCGCCTGCCTCACAAGCAAGCTCAAGGTCCTGAGTTTGATCCCCAGCACCAAAAGCAAAAACAAAAAATGTGCTTTGGGCCGGGGATTTAGCTCAGTGGTTCTGCCTCCTCTCCTGCAAGCCCAAGGACCCGAGTTCAATCCCCAGTACCAAAAAAAAACAACAACAAAAAAAAAAAAAAAAAGAAAAGAGAGGGGGGAGGGTCTAGAAGAGGCAAAGTATAATTCCTAGACAGCTGCTCCCCACACTGACCCCCTAGGTACATCCGTAAGGGATGGAGGAAAGAGGCTTGGAGCACAAACACTCAGTGGCTGAAACTTCTAAGAGCTGGAGGGGTTACCTGGAATGCCAGAGGGGCTTTCCCTGCAGCTGTGGCTCTCCCCAAACTGGGTTGCAGGGAACCCCCCCCCCCCCAACCTCTACCCTCAAAGGAAAATATTTGCCTGGAGAGAAGGAGGCTGGGTAGATGACATCTTCCTGCTGCCTTCAGCATGGCTGCCCCTTTTGAACCCCAAACAAATTTAGACCTATCACCAACACAGACTATTGCCAACAGTTTCCACAGTGGGCACATTTCCCCTCTTAAGATCATTTAGGCCACACAATGAAATATTATTTAGTCATAAAGAAGAATGAAATTATGTCATTTGCAAGAAAATGGGTAGAACTGGAGATCTTCATGTTAAGTGAAACAAGCCAGACTCAGAAAGTCAACTATCATATAAGGAATCTAGGGAAAAGATAAAAAGAGAGATGCATGAAAGTAGAAGAGAGAGACTATCAGAGAAGAGAAAGGGGATCTGGATGTGAGGGGAAGGGTGAAGGAGAGGAAATGGGGAGAAGGAAGTGATCAAAATATGTTATATGCATGGACAAATATGCCAAAATGAACCCACTAGTCTGTATGACTAATATATGTTAATTTTTTTAAAAAGTAAGTGCCAAGGCTGGGGATGTTGCTTGGTGGTAGAGAGAACACTTGTCTAGCATGTCCAAAGCACCTCTCCTCCACAAGTATTGCTCATTGCTAGGTTAAAAAAGCCAGTCTACAAAAGCTACACACTGAATGATCCCAACTATACGACATAAGATCAGTGGTTGCCAGGGGTTCAGGATCAGTGGTTGCCAAGGGAGAGATGAATAGATGGGACACAGAAGAATTTGAGGGTAATAAAACCATTCTGTATGACACTGTAAGAGTGGATACATGGCATACATTTGGTAAGTCTCATAAAAATGTGCAACAGAGTGAACTCAAGTACATTATAGACTTCAGTTAATCATAATATATAAATATTGGCTTATCATTTGTAACAAATACTAATGGAGGAAAAACAAGTAAATGAATAAAATGAAAATTCCATTAAGCACAACTTCCTGTTCTTTTGAGCTATTGAAATGACTCCTATAGGAAGATATAAACTTATACGTGTCCTGGTGTTGTATAATTTCCCAACATTTCTCAGTGCTTTGAGAAAGTAAAATTGCCTCTGAAAGATGAACAAATTGTGAGAGCTGAGAGCTTCCAACAATCATAAATAAAAACAAAATTAGTTTTCATGGTGTTTTGAGGAGTAATTTTGCTATTACAATCTATCAAAGAAAATCTTTAATAATTATCAAAAAGGGAGAGATTTTTGAGGTTGTATTTTCCTGTTATGATACAATTAAATTAAAATTACATATAAACTAATAAAAAGGATGAGCTATTTGTAAATGAAAAAATATTTCCCCATAGTACTATGATTCAAAGGAAAAGTTATGTATAAAATAATGAAATATATCAAAACATATAGGATATAGCCAAAGGTGGCTCACAGGAAAAGCTACAGCCTCAAGTTTTTTTAATTATTAAAAACTAAAGACTGAAACTAGTTTCTTACTTAAAAGATGCTATAAATCAACCATAAACCAAAATGTAGTAGTAGTAGGAAATTAATAATGATGGACAATTACAAGAATTAGTAGAATACATAAAGCTAAAACTCATTTTAAAAAGAAAACTTTGAAAGTTTAGATAATTGACTTACATGCAGTAGTGAAAAAACAACACAGTGATCCTACATGACCTTTCCCAAGTCCCCTCCAATTTTGTAAATATATCGCACAGTACCAAGACCAGGATATGAACATTGACAGTCATGATACAGAAGACTTCTAACCACCAGGGTCCTTTTTCCTATTCCCTTTATATTGATACCTACATCCAAACCCTGCCCATAAACCTGCCCAATTCCTAACCTGACAGCCATAAATCTGTTCTCTACTTCTATAGTTTTGTAATTTCAGGAATGTTATATAAATGGAATCATATAATAGGTAACCCTTTTGGATTGGCTTATTTTCTCTCAGTGTAATTCTCTGGAGAGTCCCTAAGTTGTTGCATATGTCAGTAGTTCATTCCTTTGTTTTGCTGAGTTGTATTCTGAGGTATGAATGTACCAGTGTGTTTAATCATTCACCCACTGATGGCCATCTGGGTTGTTTGTAATTTTTCACTATTGCAAATAAATCTGCTGTGAACAATCATGTATAAGGTTTTGTGTGAACATAACTTTTAATTTTTCTGGGATAAATGCTCAAGGGTGCAATTGCTGGATCATGTATATAGTTGTTGCACATTTAATTGTGGAAGAAACTGACAAATCACTTTCTAGAGTTGTACCATTTTATATTCTTGCCAATAATGTGTTAATGACCTGATTTGTCCACTTCTCACCTACCTCTGGCTGAAATATATATATATATATATATATATATGACATATACAACAATGATATATATTAATTTCAGCTGTTCTCAAAAGTGCATAGTGATGCATTGCTGTGGTTTTAACTTGCATTTCCTTGGGGGCTAATGATGTCTATCTTTTCATGTTCTTGTTTTCCATCTGCATATTATCTTCAGTAAAATAACACTTCATGCTTTTTGCCATTTTCTAATTGGGACTTTTAAATTGTTAAGTTTTCAGAATTCTTTATATATTTTAGATATCAGGTCTTTGTTGGATTTGTGGTCTGTAATATTTTCTCCAAGTCTATAACTTGTTTTTTCATCCTCTTAACAAACTCATTTCCGCAAAGACTATCAAGATTACTAGAATCTTGGCAAGCCCAATTAAGGAATCGAGAAAAGTGACATGACCACATGAAATTTCCTGTTTTTATAGAAATTTGGCTGGATTCCTAAAGCTGAAAATGATTGTTGGTAGTCCCAGTATATTTAAAACTGCCAGGAATTGGAGGCATGGAGGCAGGACTTACTAAGAGGTGGCAAAACAAGCAATCACCAATATTATTTTAAGGGAGTTTTTAGGTGTAGTGAGGGATTGAACTTTTTCTCTGCACAGTGAAGGAGAATGCTTCCACACACCCTCACCACACAGATGAAGGCTTCTCCAAAGGAACCATTTGCAGAGACAGTGGTTATCTCCAAGGGCACAAGTCAAGGATCTCTCTACCAGGCAGATGGTAGCTAAGCTGTGGGTATCTCCCTGGACTGCTACTTGAGAGGGGCAATGAGTTTTAGGGGAGGCTGTGAATGTGTCTCCTGGAGTTTTGAGAAATAAAGAAATAAACTTATCTCTGCTTCTCGACAGGGGAATCTGAAGGCAAACACCTGACCAAACCCATGTCCTTTTCATCAGTTATTCAGGCTGCACTTGGTAGTTTGGCAGGGCAAGGATGTCAGAGAATTTAGAAGCCAAGATGTCAGGTTTGACCTTACCTGGGAGGTCTGCACAGCAGAGTTTGGCTGAAAGAAGCCTGGTAAAAGCTAGTGTAAACTGGAGAGCACCTCATCTTTATGAGGCCCTGCTTCGGAGCAGAGGGGTGTAGTGGGGTCTGAGGCACCACCTTGAGGACTCATGAAAGGTCAGTGTTGGATGCTTGGTGTGAAGAGCACTTTAATCCTTAACCACCACAGTAGCACCAGCCTGTGTCCTTGAATTCTGTCCTTTGCCCTTGAGGGTCGGTGAGGAGAAAAGGAAAAGACTGGGGAAAGAGTCCTGTGTTCCAGAGGGACAGTCTACGGCAGGTGTCCCAGGTTCTTGAGGAACAGACTCTGAGATGAGAATTCTTTTGAAAGAGATTCATTAGAAAGTGTTCTGAGGAAAAATGGGTAGTGGAATGTGTGCGGAAGCAGGGTGAGGAAGAGAAGGAGGCCCAGCAAGGATAGACGCTGACTGTGAGGTGAAGGTTCTTGTAAAAGTAATTCATTAGAAAGACTTTTCATCAGTTTTAAATGGAGTTCTGTGGTGGTGGTGGTGGTAGATGCAACTTCAGCTCAGTCCCACAGGAGAGCAATGGGGATGATATAGGTCACAGCTCAGAGTTATCCCTATTAGGAACAAGGGAGCTGCACACATCAGTCAGCGGTTAACAGTGAGAATGTGAATCCCAAGATACTTCTCCCCGTGTGCCCAGATGTATGAGGGCCTTCATCAGATGAAGAAACATTGATGCTGGCTGTTAAAAATAAACCCACAGGGGAAGTCAGTGTGCAGGAAAGGGGTGAAGGGATCTGAAGGGGTCCAAGCAAAGCCTTCAGTTTTCTGCTGTGGCCCCACCCATGGCAGATCCATCCCCAGCCAACACTGCTTGAAGTTTTGATGGAGTGTGAGATGAAAGTTTTGCTTTAGTCTGGATTGGACTTTTGAGACCTGAAATTAAGACTGTTCATATAGCTGCATATATAGGAAAGAATAATGCAAAAATTCTACTTAATAACAGTGAAGGGTGAATTAGTATATGGTGCAGTTTATCAGGTTAAAGAAGCTCCCTTCTATTCCTAGTGTACTGAGAAAAAAAAGTCACAAATGGGGCTGGGGATTTAGCTCAGTGGCACCATGCCTGCCTTACAAGTGCAAGGTCCTGAGTTTGATCCCTGGTACCAAAAAAAATATAAATAAAAATTTAAAAAATCATGAATAGGTATTGAATTTTGTCTAGAGTCTTTTCTGCACAAGTTGATCCAATTATGTAGTTTTTCTTTATAGATTTCTATATAGTAGATTACATTAATTGGTTTCTGAATATTTAGCTAGACTTGCAGTCCTGGCATAAACTGCACTTAGTTGTACCTTTTTACAAATCGCTAGACTCAAGCTGCTAATATTTTGTTGACAATTTTTGTGTTTATGTTCATGTGACTTCTGGTCAGTGCTTTTCTTGTATTATCTTTGGTTAACAGTTGTGGTGAACCTATGGCACGCAATGCTGCAGTGGACATGCAGAGCCCTGTCAGCACATTAGCTAAGTCACCCCAGCAGCTGAGCAGTGGATAAGTTGTTTTATCTAAACCAAAACCTCAGTATTAAGGTTTAATTGTAGCATTGGCACTTTGTGATAAATAAGTGAGTTTTGGGTTGCTGGGTTAGTGTTAGAGTTAGGGAAAATGCTAGCCTAATAAAATGAAGTGGGAAGTGTTCCTTCCTTTCTACTTTCTGGAAAAAATTGTGCAGAACTGGTGTTCTTTCATTTTTAAGTATTTGATAGAATTTTCTAGTTAATCTGCCTAGGGCTAGAGAATTCCTTTTTTTTTCGGTACCGGGGATTGAACTTGGGTCCTTTCGCTTGCAAGGCAGGCAGTGAAACCACTGAGCTAAATCCCCAGCCCAACTTATGGATTATTTAGAAATATATCATTTAATTTTTGAAGTGTTGGGGATTTAAAATTCTTTTTGTTATTGATTCTGAGCTTAATTCTATGATTATCTGATGACATACTTTGCATAATTTCAGTTTGTTTAAATTTGCTAAGGTTTGCCGGAGATGTAGCTCGGTGGTGCTGCTCCTGCCTGGCAAGCACAAGGTCCTGAGTTTGATTCCTGATACTGGGAAAAAAATTTGCTAAGGTTTGTTTTATAATCTGAGGTAGAGTTAGCTTGGTGAAAGTTACATATGCACTTGAAAATAGTGTGTATCCTGCTGTTGTTGGGTAGAGTAAGGAACAGTGTTAATTAGGTCCAGCTGTTAATGGCACTATTCAATTTTGTATTTTAGGTTTTTAATCATAATGATTGGTTTGTGTCTGAGTTAATGGTAATGAAAGACCTAATGTGGGACTCTTAGATAGGTTCAGTATGGGGATACTCACCAGACAGAACAAATGATTAAGGGGGTGAAACTCGTAGCCTCATCAACTGATCTCTGGGGTGGTAGCTGGAGATGAATTTGTATGGCAAACTCTCAAACTTTGAGATATTATGAGCATTTAGGGTGATGAGGATGTTCATATGCCAGGTGGGTGGTGGACCTGAACTCCATAGGACAGAAGCTTCTCTCCTCAGGGCCCTTATGCACCTCACCCTTTGTACCTTTTCATCTGACTGTTCATCTGTATGATATTCATTATAGTAAAGTGGTCAAAGCAAGCAAATTTTTCTCTGGGTTTTGTGAGCTGTTCCAGAAAGTTATTGAACTCAAGGGCAGGGTTGTGGGATCTCCCAGTTTACACACAGTTGGTCAGAAGTGTGAGTAGCCTGAATTTGTGATTGGCACCTGAAATAGGGCAATCATGTGCAACTGAGCCCTTGGCCTGTTGGATTTGCTATGTAGATAGTGTCAGAATTAAATTAAATTACAGGATACTCAACTAATGTTTGCAGAGAATTTGTTTTTGGTGTTAGAAAATACCATAGTTACGATATTAGCACAAGAAGAAAAGTTAAATCAGTGGAACCTATTAAAAATCCAGAAACACATACAAATATAATTAGGAGCTTAATATATAATGAAAGTCTTACTTAAATTCTTTGGGAGAAAAGAATTAGAGAAATCTGTTCTAGGCAAATGTTAATAAAAGTAGCACAAGTGAAACATTTTATGATAAAAGAGACTTTCAGGTAAAAAATGTTAAAGCTACATCATGTGTTGATATAGTGCACCTAAAATGAGTCAGGTTATTGACTCCTTTGATCTGAAGGAGTAGATCCAACTCATTTAGAGCAAAAGTTTACAGAAATACAAGGATAAATTAATAAAGTTCCAATTCATGGAAGAGGAACTGACCTTTCCCTGAACAGAAAGAGAAAAACACACACTCCTTGTCTTTGAGTTAGAATTTGAAATCAGAACTATGTCTATTTATAAAAGAAAGTCTACTGGAATTAAATGTAAACTTGAAACCAAATCCCCTGGACTAAAACATGGATGTTATTGTACCACCAATGCCTTATCCCAAGAACCTGGATTTATAATCTAGTGAGTAAAACAAAAGCAAAAAAGTATTTGTGCAAACTCAGGTCAGGGAAAATGTCAGGAGTGAGATTAAATTTGGCTCATCTCTGGAATCTGTTGTGTAATGGATTTCTTTTTAGTGATTTTAGTATTTGATGTAAAGACGTAAACTTCTCTCATCACATCGTCTTATTCAGGTGACCGCTTTTTCTCATTTGAAATGTAAACCTTTTTTTGTAGGAACATCAGGTTTTGTGGAAAATATTTAGATAATGCTGAGAAGTCATAAAACATTACTCATGTAGGAAGTAGTAATTTTCTTAAAGCGTGCATGTTAATCTCTGTAGCTAT